GGAGTGGGAAAGGGGAGGGTTGTGGGTGGGAGGGACGGTATGGGGGGGGGAAGTCATTGTAACCCATGAGTCGTACTTTGGAAATTTATATTCATTAAATAAAAGATAAAAAAAAAAAGATTTCTGGGGCTTGTTTGAAGTCCCTATTTATTCCTGGTTACTACTTACGCCTTTTCTTCCCTCTACTTTCAAAGAGCTAAAATATGGCATTGTTGATCAGCTCCATTGTATGATGATTATAATTTCAGGATTTCTCCCTAAAATACTTTAAAGATATTTAAAGTACACTTTTCTAAAAGATTTATTTTGTTTATTTGAAGGGCAGTGTGACAGAGAGAGAGAGAGAGAGAGAGAGAGAGAGAGAGATCTTCCATCCACTGGTTCACTCCCAAATGGCTGCAACAGCCAGGGCTGGGCCAGACTGAAGCCAGGACCTCGAGCTCCATCTGGGTCTCCCACGTGGGTGCAGGGGCCCAGGCACTCGGGCCATCTGCTGCTGCTTTCCCAGGTGCATTACCAGATAGCTGGATCAGAAGCAGAGCAGCTGGCAGACTTGAACTCCACTGTGAGATGCCAGCATCAAAGATGGCACTTAACCCATTGCGCCACAACCCCGGTCCCCAAAAATACTTCTAAAAACTTATTCTTCATCATCAATTGCCTTGCATTTTCTTTGCATCTACTTTTCTAGGTTTTTTTTTTTTAGGTGATGTTTAATTCATTCTTCTCAGTCTTCATGCCTGTCTTTCTTCTCAACGTTCAATCTCTAATCTTTTGATGAAACAGTAAGCACATCCAGTCTTCCAGGACAAATACTGCGTCATCAAAAGTGAGAAATAAGAACGTGAAAAGGATTTACAGAACGTGCAAAGCACTCCATGAACACGTCTCACTCTACACCTGCGCCGCGTTACCCATGAAGCCGAGCACCTCCTACTGTGGCACGGCTCCTTGGCCAGCCTTTTCTTGTTTCGACAGTCCTTGACTTGCCACGGTTTGCCTTTGTGGTTGCCAGCTTTATGAAGCTGTAAATGCAGCATGTCTTCGGTAGAAACCAGACTTTGAATCTTGTTATCTTCTGGGGCTGGCGGTATCAGCACAATTCTATCTCACAAAGCTGGGAAGTTCAAGGCCGGCGCCGCGGCTCACTAGGCTAATCCTCCGCCTGCGGCGCCGGCACACCGGGTTCTAGTCCCGGTCGGGGTGCCGGATTCTGTCCCGGTTGCCCCTCTTCCAGGCCAGCTCTCTGCTGTGGCCCGGGAGTGCAGTGGAGGATGGCCCAAGTGCTTGGGCCCTGAACCCCATGGGAGACCAGGAGAAGCACCTGGCTCCTGCCTTCGGATCAGCGCGGTGCGCCGGCCACGACGGCCATTGGAGGGTGAACCAATGGCAAAAGGAAGACCTTTCTCTCTGTCTCTCTCTCTCTCTCACTGTCCACTCTGCCTGTCAGAAATAAAAATAAAAAATAAAAGATAAACAAAGCTGGGAAGTTCAGAGACTGCCACTCAACAGCCGGTCACATGAGGGTGAGGGTGCAACAGATTGTGTACATGTACTGTGTCGACAATGCTTTTTTAAATTATTTTCTAAGCTTTATTTATATGAAAGAGTGACAGAAAGAGGGAGAGAAAGAGGTCTTCCATCCACTGCTTCACTCCCCAAATGTCTGCAAAGCCAGGGCTGGGCCAGGCTCATGTCAGGAGCCAGGAACTCCATCTGGGTGTCCCACATGGATGGCAGGGACCCAAGTACATAGACCACCATCCGCTGCCTCCCGGGGACGTTAGCAGGAAGCTTGACTGCAGGCCTTGAGTGGCTGGACTCAGACTGGCTCTGATACGGGATCTGGGCGTTCCACCCCGTGGCTTAACCTGCTGCACTACCACGTCTGCCTCAGTACAGGAGATATTCAACACCTCATTATATAGGAAAGTCTAGGCTAAGCTACGATGTTTGGTACATTAGGCATACTAATGCATTTTATGTTTTTTTTTCAAGATCTGTTTTATTTATTTGAAAGGCAGAGTTACAGAAAGAGAGGGAGAGACAGAGACAGAGAGAGAGAGAGAGAGAGAGAGAGAGAGATCTTTCAGCCACTGATTCACTTCCCCAAATGACTGCAATGGCTGGGGCTGTGTCAGGCTGAAGCCAGGAGCTTCATCTACATCTCCCATGCGGTTGGAGGGGATCAAGAACTTGGGCCATCGTCCTCTGCTCTCCCAGGTGCATTAAAAGGAAATTGGATCGGAAGCAGAGCAGCCAGAAGTTGAACTGGCTCCCATGTGGGATGCCACTGTTGCAGGTGGCAGCTCAACCCACTGTGCCACAATGGTGGCCCCTGTTAAATGCATTTCTTTTTTTTTATAAGATTTATTTTTTAAAGGTTTATTTGTTTTATTTGAAAGGCAGAGTTACAAAGAGGCAGAGAGAGAGAGAGAGAGAGAGAGAGAGAGAGGTCTTCCATCCAATGGTTCACTCCCCAGATGGCCAAAACATCCAGAGCTGCACTGATCCAAAGCCAGGAGCCAGGAGCTTCTTCCGGGTCTCCCATGTGGGTGGCAGAGGCCCAAGGATTTGGGCCATCTTCCACTGCTTTTCCAGGTCATAGCAGAGAGCTGGATTGAAAGTGGAGCAGCCGGGACTCGAACCAGCATCCATATGGGATGCTGGCACTGCAGGCGACGGCTTTACCCCCTATAACACAGCGTCAGCCCCAGTGCATTTTCAACTTAAGATATTTTGAACTTACGATGGGTTCATCCAGACATAACCTCACTGTAAATCAAGGGACATCTCTATACTTGTGAGACTACATTTCCTGGACTATTATTTAGACACTTCTCATAGTGGTCTAAACTATTTTCTATCACTATGGCGTTTCTCCATACGGTACCAGGTATTCATGACCAAGCCAAGTCACTGACGGATGCTTTGCCCTTCTCCCAGACAGTCCAACCATCCCAGCTTCCCGACCTCTAGGTACCTTAGTCCTCTCTCCTGGATGTTTTGCTCGACACTAACTGTCCTTATTCCTGTCGTGTAGTCAGCGTTTAGACTTCCCCAGGTATCGCTCGCTTTATTGCTTTTTGTTTCACCTGCGTTTCTGGCCTCCCTCTCGGAGCGTTTTCTTTTTCTCTGAAGAACAGATTTCCTTTCTTGAAGCTCTGCTGCTGCAAACGTCTTCCCTTTCGATTTATCCGAAAATATCTCCACTCTCTTTCTGAAGGTGGTTTTCAATGACTGGAGAATCATACTCTGACAGATCCATCCTAGCATTGAAGGTAACGTTCCACTGTTTCCCGAGTTTAGAAGACAACTGTCAGTCGTCTTATTTCTTTTTTTAAAATAGGAGATCTATTTTTTTAAAGATTTATTTATTTGTTTGAGAGGTAGAGTTACAGACAGACAGACAGAGGGAGAGACAGAGGGAGAGAGGTCTTCCGTCTGCTGGTTCACTCCCCCAAATGGCCACAATGGCCAAAGCTAGGAGCCAGGAGCTTCATCGGGGTCTCCCATGTGGGTGCAGGGGACCAAGGCCATCTTCTGCTCTGCTTTCCCAGGTGTGTTAGCAGGGAGCTGGATCAGAAGTGGAGCAGCTGGGGCTTGAACTGGCGCCCATATGGGATGCTGGCACTGGGGGCTGTGGCTGTGCCAGCTGTGCCACAGTGCCGGCCCCAGTCTTATTAATTCTTTTTAGATGGTTGGGGTTTTGTTTTGTTACATTTGGTTTTTTTTTTAAGATTTATTTATTTATTTGAAAGAGTTACATAGAGAGAGAAGGAGAGGCAGAGAGAGAGAGAGAGAGAGAGAGAGAGGTCTTCCATCTGCTTGTTCACTCCCCAATGGCTGCAACAGCTGGAGCTGCGCCAATCCAAAGCCAGGAGCCAGGACCTTCCTCCGGGTCTCCCACGCTGGTGCAGGGACCCAAGGACTAGGGCCATTTTCTACCGCTTTCCCAGGCCACAGCAGAGAGGACTCAAAGCAGCGGTCATATGGAATGCCGGCAAAAGCAGGCAGCGGCTTTACCCACTACGCCACAGTGCCGGCCCCCGTTCCATTTGTTTTTAAGAGTTTCTCTTTGCCTTTTGGCTCAGTTTCGTTCTAATGTGTCTAGGACTAAATTGCTTTGTACTGCTTGAGTAAGGTTTCTGGGACCTGTGGATAAACATCTTTCAATTATTTGGGGCATTCTTGGGTATTAATTGCTTATTATTGCCTCTGCAATACCTCTGATTACCTCCTTTGTTTTTCCTTCTCTGCTGTGTACCAGTTACCTGTCTGCTACACCTTGTCCTGGAATCCTTCCTGCCTCTTTCCCCTTCTACATTTTTGTCCGTTTGTCTCTTCACGCTTGATTCAGAAAACTTTCTTGTTACTTAATTCCAGTTCACACACTTTTCTTCAGGTGTGTCTCGTGAAATCACACCCATCTGTTGAATTTTTAATTTCATGTTTCAGTTTTAGAATTTCTGTTTGGAGCCAGCATTGGGGTGGCATAACAGGTAAAGCCATGGCCTGCAATGTTGGCATCCCATAAGGGCGCCAGTTTGGGTTCTGGCTTCTCCATTGCTGATCCAGCTCCCTGCTGATGGCCTGGGAAATCAGTGGAGGATGGCCCAAGTGTTTGGGCCCCTGTACCCATAGGGGAACCTATAAGGAGTTCCTGGTTCCTGAATCCTGACTCCTGGCTTCTGGCTTCAGCCTGGCTCAGCCCCAGTAGTTGTGGCCATTTGGGGAATGAACCAGAAGATGTAAGACCTCTTTCTCTCTCTCTTTTTCAAATACATTTAAAAAAATAATTTCTCTTCATCTCATGTATAAATGCTTACATATAAAATATCGTGCCACTTTTGGCGATTCTAATTTTTAATATTTTATCTACTGAGTTTTCAAACTACCAGTGTTTAACTCTGTAATTTTCAAATTTAGATTCTACTTTCTTAAGCATAGTAAGCAGATTTATTCTCGTCTGTGGATATTTTTTATTTTTAAATATTTATTTAATTGAAAGGCAGAGTAACAAAAAGAGACAGACAGACAGAGAGCGAGAGAGAGAGAGGGATTTTTCATCTTCTGATTCACTCCCTAAATGGCCACAACACCTGGTGCTGGGCTAGGCTGAAGCCAGGAGCCAGGAACTCCATCCTGGTTTCCCAGGTGAGTAGCAGGGGCCCACGCACTTGGGCCATTTCAGTTGTAGTCCCAGGGGCATTAGCAGGTAGCTGGATTGGAAGTGGAGCAGCCGGGACTCAAACTAGCACTCCAGTATGAGATACCAGCATCATAGCAGCAACTCAACACACACACTATAATACCAGCTCCCGTAGATTTTTTTTTTTTTTTTTTTGACAGACAGAGTGGCAGTGAGAGAGAGAGAGACAGAGAGAAAGGTCTTCCTTTTGCCATTGGTTCACCCTTCAATGGCCGCCACAGCTGGCACGCTGTGGCTGGTGCACCGTGCTGATCCAATGGCAGGAGCCAGGTGCTTCTCCTGGTCTCCCATGGGATGCAGTACCCAAGCACTTGGGCCATCCTCCACTGCACTCCCTGGCCACAGCAGAGAGCCGGCCTGGAAGAGGGGCAACCGGGACAGAATCCGGCGCCCTGACCAGGACTAGAACCCGGTGTGCCGGCGCCGCTAGATGGAGGATTAGCCCTAGTGAGCCACGGCGCCGGCCCTGTGGATCTTTTTAAAACTCATTTCTGTGGGTTCTTGTTGCTAGCTCTTTTCTTCTTACATGGCTGGCATTTCAAAAATTATTTGCAAACACAATTCTAAGACTAGATATAACCCTCCTGCGGACATATTTGCTGTCAGCTTTTCCAAGAACCTGCAAACACTAGAAATCGGGGGCATTCTTTAATTCAATCCAAGCTCCATGTTCTCGGTTGTTGTGTGTTCACAATACAATGCGCTCAGCCCTACGACAGAGAAATGGCAGTACACAATGCAAACCTCAACGCGAGCCGTAGGAGGAGAATCTGACCTGCCTGGGGTAGGGAGGCTTTCCGGAGAAGGCGATGTCTGAGATGAGACCCAAGGGGTGAATAATTAATTGACTTCCCCCTCTTGATCCAATATGACCTGGAAACACGGCTTGGAGACTGCCAATCAGCTTCAGGTTATTGCAAAGGACAAAAGTGTTTGGAGGGTGTTGAATCTGGAACAAAGACCAACTTGGCTTCAAATTCCAGTTCTACCACTTAGCTGCCACTTAACTTTAACCAAGTTCCCAGGCCAAGTGAGCCTTGGTTTCCCAACTTATAAACTGGGAGTACGGATCATGGGCTTTAGCGGGTGACGTAACCAGGAAGAAAAGAACATAGGCCAACAGTTTTGCCTGCTTCGCTGTAAAGCCGGAAAGCTGATGTTTCAGGGCTGGCCTGCGGGCGGGCTGCACACCGCGTCCCAAGGCGCACATCGCCTCATTCCTTATCTCAGCTCCTTTGCAAAGCAGGAGGACCTGCTCGGGCTGGGTCTGGTTTCCTCAGCTGTGCACCTCCCTCAAGGAACAGAGGAGGAAAGCACTGTCATCGACACAGTGACAGGCCTGAAGCTCTTTTGCGATTTTACCATCACAACACCCCCTCCCTTGTAGCCCCTTTATAAGCTTAAGCCCCCAACCACCGTCACCCAGCAGAGCGGGAGTCCTTGAGACACTGAGGTTTGCTGCCCTCTCATCTGTCGACAGGTTAAACGAAACCTGGTCCTCATTCTTCTGACTTGGCGCTGGACACCGGGACAATGATGAGAATGCAATGAGATGTCACCTATACAGCATCTAGGACCATGTCACAGATCAGGAGTCAATAACGGTTCCATCTTGCTTCTCTTTGTGCCCAACGCAGGCTCTTTGCTAGTAACAAAATGTATTCCCTTTCCTGCACGAGAGGAGTGGACGTGGAAAATCGGAGCAGAAAAATCCCCAGGAAGTCATTGTGGATTCTCTTTCATTAGAGAATTCCCGCATCCAGAGCAGCCTGCTAACCCCAGGACCGGCGTCTTCACCTTCAAATGAACGGATGAGTCCTTCCGTGATGCCGCAGGTGGGGTTTCACGTTTCGTGGGGGTGGAGTAGACCCTGGAGAGCTTTCTCCAGGACTCGACTGATGCCTGGAAACTGAACCCCAGGCACTGCCTTATCTGATTGCACCTCAGAACCTTGCAAAGGCAGTGCTGCAGCAGGGAATTCTGGCCAGGGAGCAGGGCCAGCCTGGCAGCCCGTGGAACGGGGAGCCACTTTGCTGGCAACGGCATCCTCTGCTTTGTTAGAGGCAAGGATGTTAGAGGCCAAGGCTCAAGAATGTGTCGTTGGAGTTAAGGAACACACAGACTTGCCAGCCCGCCCTATCCCACCCCACAAACTGCCAAAGCCGTCCATTCTCCTGCTGATTGAGGGTTGGTTGTCACCATCTGACTTCCCTCCTGAACTGAGACCTGCTGAAGGAAGGAGGGGGAGACAGGCGTCCTGATGTCATCTACAGCTAGAATGCACCCAGCCAACACTTCTCCACCTTAAATCCCTCCCAGAGAATCCCCCACGCAGAAGGAAGTGTGTGCCAAAATGTTTGTTACAGCGAAAAATTAGAAACAGACCAGAGGTGTCCGTCACCCAAACACTGTACTAGGGCCATAGCCTGGGCTACTCCGCAATAGCTACAGAGGGTAGGATAAAAATGTTTTCCCCGGGCACTCCACTTCTAAGATATATCATTGAGAGGGAAAAAAAATAAACAAGTCGAGTTGCACAACAACAGGTATGGACCAATCTCTTTGATGTAAGAACATGTGGCAAAGTCGTCCCACAGAACAACAGCCTGCGTTTTCAGGGGTGCCTATCTGTGGATGCGCACGCACAGAAGCAGGCTTACAATAGGGCTGGCACACCACCCCGCCAGGCAAATAAGAGGGAGCTGCGGATACAATCAGTGAAAAGGGACCAGGGTGCGAGGCGGGAGGTCGGGAGGGACCTCAGCCTCATGGCTGGCCGACAGAGGCTCAGCCTAAAAGAATAAATTTGAGCATCATTTAGGCGATTGAAAATTAAATTTGCAGAAGACAGACCGGAAGTGGAACTGCCATGCGTGAGTGCATGGTCAGCTGTGAAACTGCTCCTGTACCCCTTCAACGTCCATGCTGTGGCCGTGTGACCGTCGTGTCCGTGACTGGTGAGCAGCGGGCTGGAGAGACTACGGTTTGCCTTGTTCTACTTCCCTTGGCCACAGGCTGGGGATATTTCCAACAGAAGCTGCTCCATCAGTCCCAGGCCCGGAGCAGGCGTAGGTGGAAGCAGACCTGCGGCTGACTTGCGGACGTCATGCGAGCAAGAAAGGGACCTCCATGGTCACGAGCTGCTGGGACTGTGGCCCCACTTACTGCAGCACAGCCCGACTGTTCCAGCGCACGGACCAGAGAGGGAGCAGGCAGCCACTCTGAGCAGAGAGTGCAGGGGAGGAGAGGCAGGTTTGGGGTCCGAAAGGCAGAGGGGCCCTGGGTGGGGGCAAGGCGGATCTGGGACAGACCCTGAAACGGAAGTAGGTGAGGAGTGGCAGACTCATTTTGCTAATTTGCAATTTGCCCCAGCACCTGTTCTCAGCTGCCTACTGACTCCAGAAAGCAACTCACCGTTCTCTATCAGACGGCCCTGTCCCAAGCTAACTGGCAGATCTGCCCGAGGACACAGTCCCAGAGCATCTGGCTTGGAGGGAGTGGGGATGTCTACCTGCCCTGGGCACAGGCAGCGGGGCACCTCCACCGTGAGTTCCTGCAGGGACCCCCAGTGGCCACTTTTGACACTGGTCAGACTCAGAGAGCTACAGCCAAGAGAGCAAAGGAAACCAGAGAATAAAAATGCCTTGAGTTTTTCAACCTGACTCAGCTCAGACAGTAGCTGACCACTACCTGGATAGGAATCGACTGAAATAAGATCACGTGGCTTGGCAATGGCGTCATCTTAATCCCCAGAGACAAGAAGAAAAAGAGGGGCCAGGGCTGTGGCACAGTTGGTTAAGCCAACTCCTGCGAGGCCGGCATCCCACATGGGCGCCAGTTCAAGTCCTGCTGCTCTACTTACGATCCAGCTCCCTGCTAATGTGCTTAGAAAAGCAGGAGAAGGTGGCCAAGTGCTGCGTGGGAGTCCTGGCTGGAGCTCCTGGCTCCTGGCTTCAGCCTGGCCCAGCCCTGGCCGTTGTGGCCATTTGGGGAGTGAGCCAGAAGACAGATTGAAGATCTCTCTCGCTTACTTACTCTCGCTCTTTCTCTCTCTCCCCTGTAACTGCTTTGCAAGTAAATCTTAAAAAAAAAAAAAAAAAGAACAAGAAAGAAAAAAGAGAGCAATAGGCCAGCGCCGCGGCTCACTAGGCTAATCCGCCTGCGGCACTGGCACACCAGGTTCTAGTCCTGGTTGGGGCTCCGGTTCTGTCCCAGTTGCCCCTCTTCCAGTCCAGCTCTCTGCTGTGACCAGGGAGTGCAGTGGAGGATGGCCCAAGTGCTTGGGCCCTGCATCCCATGGGAGACCAGGGGAAGCACTTGGCTCCTGGCTTCGGATCAGCGTGCTGGCCACGGTGGCCATTGGAGGGTGAACCAACGGCAAAGGAAGACCTTTCTCTCTGTCTCTCTCTCTCTCTCACTGTCCACTCTGCCTGTCAGAAAGAAAGAAAGAGAGAGAGAGAGAGAGAGAGAAAAGAGAGCGATAATGCTGGACTAATGGCTCATGGGACATCACAGAGTTTTTGCCAGGCAAATAGGGTTTGCGGTGGAGCGTGGACAGGAGCAGGCCTTGGGAAATCTATAGAAGCAGCTGGCCTTGAGCTCTACTGGAAAGACAGGACCTGGGTGTTATTAACATGAGTTGTGGTTCCTCATCTGTACAGTGGGTTTAAGAATACCCAGCATGTAGGGTTCATGCAAGGAACACAAGAGGTAGCAGCTCCCATGGAGATGGCCCTTAGGGGACATTCGCCCCCTCTCTTTTTCATTCCTCATGGATGGGTTGCAGGCAGGACAGCAACAAAATGCTGAAAGGCAACCAGAGGAGCCTGTGAGCCACTGGGGCCGGAGGGCTTTGCCTCTCCCACCACCTGCAGAAGGAAGGAGCCCTGCACAGGCGCCTTCGCCCCTTAAAGTGCAGCCCGTTCATCTGCACTGGGCACAGGCGTCCAGGGCTCCCAATGCCTCAGCACCCCACAGCAGGCCAGCTCATGTCCCTCCACCCGCCTCCTGCGGCAGAGGTGAGACAGCAAAAGCCATATTCCAGAGGGCTGGGACATCAGAGAGCCCGGTGGAGGACTGGATGGTGGTGAAGATCCGGTAAGAGGGAAGCAGAGTCACAGCCCCTTCCTTTATCAAATGGGCCACGCAGGCAGGATTCCCACGGAGCAAGGGAAGTGCAGGAAGCGAAAGTCAACGACGCGGAGCTCTCCATGGAAACCTTCCTCCAGGGGGATCTGTGGCTCAGCGGGTTAAAGCCTCAGCCTGCAGCACCAGCATCTCATGTGGGCGCCGGTTCAGTCCCAGCTGCTCCACTTCCAATTTAGCTCCCTGCTAATGTGCCTGGGAAAGCAGTAGAAGATGGCCCAAGTGCTTGGGCCCCTGCACCCACGTGGGAGACCCAGAAGAAACTCCTGGATCCTGGCTTTGGATCAGCTCAGCTCCTGCTGTTGCAGCCTTTTAGGGAGTGAACCAGCAGATGGAAGATCTCTCTCTCTCACTCTTCCAAATAAATAAATCTTAAAGCAAAAACCTTCCTCCATCACCAGTCACCACTCCAGGCTTCCAGCCTTTCTCCTGCCCCTCCGCTTGGAGGGACCATGCTCTCCAGCGTCCAGTACCCTCCATCAGAGAGGTGCTGGCTGCCTTCCCCACACTCAGTCCGCCCATCAGAGGCGGCTGACTCACCCAGGCTTCGATAGGACCTAGTCCTGGTCAGCGGGAACATTCTGTTCTCTTGATTTTGACAACTAGCCATACCAGTCTGAAAACCAATAGAGCCATTGAGTTGCAAGGAGAGTTTTGCTAGAACTGTTGCAAATGAAGCAACTGGATAAGAATGAACTTGACCCTGGGGCAACATAAGCATAAAGCTGCCCAAGGCCACCACCGCATGGAGAGGTGAAGAGGAAGGTCAACACCAGGCGCTGACAGAGCAGAGAGAAGAAATGGCAGCCACTGGCACTGCTCGAGTTCACGCATCAATTCTTGCCTGGCTTACCCCTGACGGTCATTGCTACACGAGCCCCAATACTGTCTGTCTGATTTAGGCCAGCTTGTCTTAAAACAGAAACGATCCCTAACAATATGTCCCTTTGGTCCTCTCCTGCCATCCCGCAATGGACACGGGTGAGTTGGGTTAGGCTCGGCTTTCATGGGTCCCTGCCCCTGGCCTCGGCTTCCCTGCTGCCCCCTGTCCTTTAACTCTTAGACTCTTGTTTCAGGGCCCTGGGTTGGAAGCTCAATTTTGACTCCACGGGCTCCACAGCAACCCTGTCAGGCAGTTCTGGGTGTTCATCTTCCTCTAGGGGGCCAACTAGCATGGGAAGCCTAGCCAGTCTGTCCCAGCTCTTCCAGTCCAGGCCATCAGAACTCGGAGCCCAGAGGCTGGGCAACAGCAGGAGCAGTGTCACTGGGACCCCAGAGGAAGAGCTGGAACGCATTTCTCCACCACCCAGCAGCCTAGAACATCAGCACTCCACCTCCACCTTCTGGGCCACAGGGAAACTGCACACGGTGGCCAGGCATGCGTGCCACGCACCATCTGGATCAGCCTCCCCAGCCAGAACTCTATGTAGCTCAGAGAGGCTGTGAGTAACTCTTATGTGCTGACTCCATCTCACAAATGGCCACCAAAAATTGTAGGTTCCAATTTCCCCAGCGGTGAACACAAACAGAAAGCCCCAGCCCCATGCCCCAAACCTGTCCCCTGGGGCTCTCCCCCAGACACCAGGAAGGGCTCGCAATGTATGATTCCAGAACCTGCCCCAGGAAGGAGACCTCACCGCCGTCTCCCTCTTTAGCCCCATTCAGCATCACCCAGATCAGCAACAGGAAGCCCCGTGGGGGATGGGACAGTGGTGTGGCTCCAGCCCAGGAGGAGGAGGAGGGTCACAACCCCCGGATAAAATGGACCACGAGATTCAGGATTCTCTTGGAGCATGGGAAGTGCAACAAGCCCAGGTCGATGGTGTTGAGCACTCCGTGGAAACCATCGTCCATGTGATGCCAAGTCACCGGCACCCCCAGGTCTTCCAACCTCTTCTTGTACAGCAGGGAGTGGTCCCGCAGAAGATCATACTCACAGCTCACGATGCAGGCTTCCGGGAGCTGAGACATGACGCTGTCCTCGGCGATCAGGGGCGAGCACATCAAATTGAGGAGGACCCTGGTCTCCAGGTAAGCATCTTCGTTCAGGGGCGCCCGGGGCACGGGCTGGTAGCCTCTCTTCTTAAACCGCTCCGGGATGTTTTCTGCGCCCACCCACTTGTCATACTTCGCCCAGACTTTGGCAGGTAGATGGGCGCCCTTCTTGAGGGCGCTCTGCCAGGAAGGGTTGATATCCATGTAGCAGCACAGACAGTAGAAAGCCAAATGCCACGTGAGCAGGGGGATTTTCTCGTTCTGCTGAAAGGAAGGGGACTGGAAGTCCAGGGCTTGGAGGGCAGGGTAGATCAGAACCTGAGCCCGAATCCGGGGCAGATCCGGACGGTTGAGGAAGGTCTGACAAACCACCGTTGCCACGCCCCCTCCCACGCTGTCACCACCGACCACGACTCGTGCTGGGTCCACGCCGTACGCGTTCAGGGTCTTCAGGAACTGGACGGTGGCCGCCATGCAGTCTCTCACCATGACCGGGAACTTGTACTTGGGTGACTTTCGGTATCTACAAGGGAAGTCAGCAACACAATTGATACTCACCAGCCCAGCAGAGTCGCAGCTATGCGTGTGCAGGATCTCTGCGCCTACATGTCTTCCATCAGCCGCCTTTTCTGACACTTGAGCAGGTGGAGTTAGAGGTGAGGCTTACGCCAGACGGAAGAAGACATGAAGTCTTCATCATTAGCACACAGGCTAATTCCCTGTGGCGCAATCACCTGCTGAGGGACCAGCTGTGGGTACAAGAGCCCTGCCAGCCGCCTGTTGGCCAATGACCTTGGTATCACCTACACCTGCCCCATCTACCTGAGCCACCTGGTGTTGCCTCTCTGCCTCGCATCTGTTCTACTTCCTGTTTTATGATTTCATGAACAGTTCCAGGCTTGCTTATATTTTGATTCTAGTGACTTCTGCTCCTATAGTTTGGATATGATCTTAGTGTGTTCCCCAAAGCATTCATGTGTTGGACGCTTGGTCTAGGGTGGTGGTATTTGGAGATGTAGAACCTTGAACACTCAGAAGAGATTAAGGCAGTTTCCCAGAGATGCCTGTTCTCACAAGAGGCTTGTTCTACAAAACTGAGCCTGACCCCATACTGCTCTCCGGCTTCCTGTTCTGAAACAGGCCCCTCTCGTCCCATGCCCACCGTTCACATCAGCCTTGGGTGATACAGCCAGGTGGGATGAGGGTCCTCACCAGAGTCTGCACGTGCCTTGAGGAATTTAAGTACCCAGATGGTGAGCTAAATGTACCTCTTTTCTTTATAAAGTTAGCCTGCCCCAGGTATTTCATTACAGCATAGAAAAATAGGCTAGTCCACCTGCCATGGCCCCAGATGCTGTGGGGGAGACCTTGTAGACTTAACTTCCACCAGAGGCCAGCAGACAGCCTGCCCGGCACCCCGACTCCTGACCGCTGCTCTGTGGAGATGCCAGCCTGGCCCTGCACTCTTCCATTGTTGAAGAGATTCCAGATTTTGTGAGAAGTCTCACCATGGGGAAGACGGACCAGGTTGTTTTAAAAGACAAAAAGCAAATGCCCTCTGGGACAAACAAAGCTTCTGGCAGCCCTCTCCATCCCGACACCCCCATTCCAGACGGCCCTGGGCTGGTGCTGCAATAGCAATGCATTTAAATCTGAAATCCGGCTGGCTTGGGGTTCAGAACGTGAGTTGCCGGGGCAGACTTGCCGGCAGAGTCTCCTGATGATCGCTTGGCTTGGCAGGACCAGGACAGGAAGGCACAGAGTGCCAACCGCGGCGGTGAGATTCCGTCTCAGCGCAGGAACCGTGTGGGAACCGAGAACTGTCAAGTGAGGACTTTGTCCAGGTCTCTTTCTGTCTCTCGCATCTACATTTAGGCCTTCGCTTTTCACGCTGCACAACTAGGTCTTCCCCAAAAAGCCGGGAAGCATCCTCCCGAGACCTTGGCAGCTGCTGTTTCCTTGTGCATTTAGATGGCTCTGCAGGAGAAGCCTAACTAGGGGCATCAAACAGCAGGCCAGGAGCCCAGGAGGGGCCAGCCCACGTCTTCCTCCACCAGCGCCCACGTGGCCTTCCTTGAGGTTCCGGGTGGGGTGGGTGGGTGACTCTCAGAGATCAGCTAGGAGGAAAGAGTGGTCTGGTCTTGTCTGTCTGTTTGTTTTTGATTCCATGGGTGGATGTCAACCAGGAGGAGGGACCTCCCTCTTGGGAGCACTTGGAAATGGATAGGCAGGGCTGGGGTTGTCTTGGAGATGGCGCTGGACACCTCTGGCATTTAGCAGTTAAATGTCTGGAACAGGCAGCACTGTCTCGCTCAGCAAAGAACCACTCCACTCCACTGCGCTCCCAAAGTGAAGCTCTGATTAAAAATCCACTTCCCTCCCAGCTTCTAAACAATTGGGTGCCCAGAAGCCACCCACGCGCCCATTCCCAGCCTCCTCTGGGTCCCCGCCTCCCTTCTCCTACTCCTCTCTGGCTTCTGGTCGTCCAGAGCTTCCGAGCCCTCTTCCCGCTCCCCACTCTGCGCGGTACTCACCCGACAGCCAGGACCACGGCGTCACTCTTCTTGGACAAATAGGAGTACACGCCGTGGTGGGTTCCTGGAAGACAGGAGGTTTCCACGCTCACTGGGAAGCCCCCTTCAGCAGCCTGCGCCAGCCCCTGGCCAGAGCCCCTGGCCGCTCCCCGCACTGGGCTCTGCAACTCAGCCTCTGGCTCTTGAGCAATTCAACTTTCCCACCCGTGGGGCTGCCTGAGCTACATTGTCCCAGACACCCGTGCCCTGCCGGACTCTGCAGATCGTGAAAAATGCCTGAGAAGCTGTTTGGTTTCTGTTGGGAGCTCCGGGCTCAGCAGACCGGAGTTCAAACCCCACCCTCACTGCCGTTTAGCTTGAGCTAAAATAGTGCCCAGCACACTGCCTAGCCTGCCTGAGGCTTGATTTCTTTGTCTGTCTAATGGGGACAACGATGATGTCTCCATCGTAGGGGGGCTGAGGAGTTAAACGAGTGGTGTACGTACGGCAGGGTGGGCTTCACGCTGCAGCCGGTTAAGCTGCTGCTTGGGACTCCTGCATCCCACCTTGGGGTGTCTGGGATCGAGTCCCGCCTCCACGTCCGATTGAACTTCTTGCTAATGCACAACCTGGCAGGCAGCAGATGAGGGTCAAGTCCTTGGGTTCCTGGTACCCACACCCAGATGGAGCTCCTCGCTTCAGCCCAGCCCAGCGCTGGTTGTTGTGGGCATTTGGGGAGTGAACTAGCAGATGCAAGATCTCTCTCTCTCTCTCCCTTTCAAATAAATAAATAAAAACTTCTAGATAATAAAAGGTGAGTCTTTGGAGCCACTGTTGTAGCATAGAGGGTAAAGCCGCCAACTAAGATGCTGGCATCCCATATGGGCACCAGTTCAAGTCCCAGCTGCTCCACTTCTGATTCAGCTCGCTACTAATGCACCTGGAAAAGCAGTGGAGGGTGGCCCAAGTGCTTGGGCCCCTGCACCCCGCATGGGAGACCCAAAGGAAGCTCCTGGCTCCTGGCTCCTGGCTGTTGCAGCCATTTAGGCAGTGAATCAGTGGATGGAAGATCTCTCTCTGTCTCTACCTCTCTCTGTAACTCTGCCTTTCAAATAAATAAATTAATTTTTTTAAACGCCTACTCTTTGTCAAGTTTTTTTTTTTTAAATGTTCATATAGTCGTGCCTGTCCTGTGAATATAACTATTCATGTTTCTGAATATTGGTAGCTACTATCATTTGTGGTAGAGACCACACCACCAAACCCCTTATTCTCAAAGCCACCACGACGGGACCCTGGCCCCCCACAAGTTGGGAAGCACTGCTAAATCCAAGACACCACGTCCCACTCTCTCATAGGGAAAACCTAGGACAACCGCCTCACTTCTGAGTTTCTCCTCATGCGTTCTCCCCACGTCTTCGGTCTGTCTCAGGCCACACCGGGTGTGAACAATGAGGTGTTTCATTGACGATATCCTTATTTGCAACTCAGTAGCAGGGCGGGGGTGGGTGTGCAACGTGCTGAAAGCCACTGAATGATACCTTGAAACAGCTGATTTTCATTTCTGTGAATTTCATCTCGATAAATGCACATTTCCCACATATGTGTGTGTACGCTTCGCGAAGTTGATGAAAAGAAGGTTTTTTTGATGCTAAAAATGTTGAGATTGATACAGAGCTTTTCATGAACTTTTTGGGTGTTATTTTCATTTTGCTTGAAAGGTGGACAGAGAGAGACGGAGAGAGATCTTCCATCTACTGGTTCACCCCCCAGTGCTTACCATAGATTGGGCTGAGCCAGGCCAAAGCCAGGAGCCTGGAACTCCATCCAAGTGGGCAGCAGGGTCCCCAGGACTTGAGCCGTCACCTGCTGCCTCCCAGAAGCTGAGACGCTGGAGTCAACAGCAGAGTAGGGACTTGAATATGGGATGCACTCCAATATGGGGCTCAGGCGTCCCAGGAGAACTCCTGCACCAAAACGCCTGTCCCCATGAACTTTTTGAAGATCTCTCATATGCATGAATTTCAAAATATTTTTCACCAGGGCCGGCGTTCTGGTGTAGCAGCTAAAACCTGCAACACTAGCACCCCATATGGCCGCTGGTTTGTGCCCTGGCTGCTCCACTTCCAATCTAGCTTCCTGCTAATGGCCTGGAAAAAGCGGCTGAAGATGGCCCAAGTGTTGGGAGACCTGGATGAGGCTCCTGGCTCCTGGCTTTAGCCTTGACCCAGCCCTGGCCATTGCAGCCATCTGGAGCGTGGACCAGCCAATGGAAGATCTCTCTGTGTCTCTCCTTCTCTCTCTAAAACTCTGACTTTCAAAGGAATAAATAAATCCTGGCCAGTGCCGCGGCTCACTTGGCTAATCTTCCGCCTGCAGTGCCGGCACCCTGGGTTCTAGTCCCAGTTGGGGCGCTGGATTCTGTCCCGGTTGCTCCCCTTCCAGTCCAGCTCTCTGCTGTGGCCCGGGGAAGGCAGTGGAGGATGGCCCAAGTGCTTGGGCCCTGCACCTGCATGGGAGACCAGGAGAAGCACCTGGCTCCTGGCTTCAGATCGGCACAGTGCACCGGCCGTAGCGGCCATTTGGGGGGTGAACCAATGGAAGGAAGACCTTTCTCTGTCTCTCTCTCAAATTTTTTTTTGTAACAAACCAAATTTACCCTTAAAAACAATTTTTTTTGACAGGCAGAGTGGACAGTGAGAGAGAGAGACAGAGAGAAAGGTCTTCCTTTGCCATTGGTTCACTCTCCAATGACCGCCGCGGCCGGCGCACTGCGCTGATCAGATGGCAGGAGCCAGGTGCTTCTCCTGGTCTCCCATGGGGTGCAGGGACCAAGCACTTGGGCCATCCTCCACTGCACTCCCTGGCCACAGCAGAGAGCTGGCCTGGAAGAGGGGCAATCGGGACAGAATCCGGCGCCCCGACCAGGACCAGAACCCAGTGTGCCGGCGCCGCAAGGCAGAGGATTAGCCTAGTGAGCTGCGGCGCCGGCAAAAACATTTCTTAAAACATATTTGCGAGACAGCTTCCATCTACTGGTTCATTCCTGAAATGCCCTCCACACCAGGGCTGGCTGGGGCCAAAGCTGGGAACCAGGGACACAAGTCAGCTCTCCCACATGGGCGGCAGGAACCCACACTGCCTCCCGGGGTCTGCACCAGCAGGCAGCTGGGACCAGGAGCCAGAGCCAGAGACTCGGTGTGAGTTACTAACCCCCAGGCAAAACGCTTACCCTAAGCTTAGCTTTTAAATCCAGTTTTAGAGGAACCTTATTGAAGTACCCTGGTGTATGTGTGTGTGTGTGTGTGAGAGAGAGAGAGAGAGAGAGAGAGAGTGAGCACTCTGGGACACACTAAATGTACCAGTGTTCCTGGTCCTGGGATGATGACTTTCTTTTTTTTTTTTTTTTTTTAAAGATATTTATTTACTTGAAAGTCAGAATTACAGAGAGAAAAACAGAGAGACTGGCAGATAGACAGACAGATAGACACACACACACACACACACACACACACAGATCTTCCATCCCTGGCTCACTCCCCAAATGGCTGCAATGGCCAGGGCTGAGCCAGCCTGAAGCCAGGAGCCAGGAGCTTCTTCCGGGTCTCCCACGTGGGTGCAGGGGCCCAAGCACTTGGGCCATCCTCCGCTGCTTTCCTAGGTTGTCAGCAGGGAGCTGGATTGGAAGTGGAGCAGCCAGGACTCCAACAGGCACTCCCATATGGGATGCCAGTGTCTCGGCAGCTGGGACAGGAACTGGTGCCCATGAGCAATGCCGGCTTTGCAGTCGGTGGCTTTACCCGAGCATCGCAGCGCTGGCCCTGACATTGTTTTAAACCCTTGATTCAGCATGTCACGTTCCTTTGGGAGGTCTGTGGACAGGGCACTTACTCAAGCTCCCCATGATGGTGCCGCCACCATGGTAGAACACAACGCCGGGCCTGGGGGTGCTGGACGATGCCTTGGGCTGGTACAGCTTCGCCCGGATGGTCCCGAAGCGGAGATCCGTGACCAGGACATCCGGGTCCTTCTTTGGCACCCTCAGGTCGTGTATGAAACGGACAAACTGGGGCATCGAACAGATCCCCAGCTTCTCAAAAACCAAGCCCTGTTAGAGAGAGACGAGAAAACGCGTCAAGGGTCTCTGCCCAGGGGTCTGCAGGTCCCTGGGGTCTGGTGGCCACCCCTAGCCTCAGCAGGTGGCAAGAGAGCTCAGCTTAGGGAATTACAGTCAGGTTGGGCCCAGCCCTGCTCCGCCTCCTGAGTGGGTGCCCCCTCACACTTGCAGTAAAATCCAACCCCACTCAGGTGCTACGTGGCCTCAGGCCTGCCAGTCCCTCTCAACCCTCTCCGTCTGGTGTCTTCAACCCCAGCCAGGATAACTCCGGCTTCTGGTTCCCCCAGAAATCCCCCTCCCCGGAGCACCCCGGTCCCTCTGAGGCTCCCACTCCACTGGGCCTGGACACGATGACTTCCCACAGTCTCCCTGGGCCACCCCAGCCCACCTGGCCATCCCTAGGCTTTTGTGGCCATGCTTAGAAAAAAGTGGGGGTGGCCGGCGCCGCGGCTCACTAGGCTAATCCTCTGCCTTGCAGCACCAGCACACCGGGTTCTAGTCCGGGTCGGGGTGCCAGATTCTGTCCCGGTTGCCCCTCTTCCAGGCCAGCTCTCTGCTGTGGCCAGGGAGTACAGTGGAGGTTGGCCCAAGTGCTTGGGCCCTGCACCCCATGGGAGACCAGGAGAAGCACCTGGCTCCTGCCATCGGATCAGCGCGGTGCGCCGGCCGCAGCGCGCCGGCCGTGGCGGCCATTGGAGGGTGAACCAACGGCAAAGGAAGACCTTTCTGTCTGTCTCTCTCTCTCACTATCCACTCTGCCTGTCAAAAATTAAAAAAAGAAAAAAAAAAAAGAAAAAAGTGGGGGGTGGGGGAGGGAGTCCCTACTAAAATATTTGAGAATAAAGTAATGCAGTGCCCAGGACGCGCTGTCTAAGCAACTGGGGCCGTGGGGACGGTGTTGTGGCACAGCGGATTGAGCTGCTGCTGCGACACGGCATCCCACATGGGAGAGCGTTTGGAGTCCCGGCTGCTCCACTCCTGATCCGGCTCCCTGCTGTGGCCTGGGAAGGCAGTGGAAAACGGCCCAAGGGCTGGGGCCCTGCACCCGCGTGGGAGACCGGGGCGGAGCCCTGGCTCCTGGCTGCATCTTGACGCAGACCCGGCTGTTTCTGACATTTGGGGAGTGAACCAGAGGATGGAAGATCTCTATCTATCTATCTTTCTCATTCTGCCTTTCAAAAAAACCAAACACATCTTTAATAGAAAGAAAGAAAGAAAGAAAGAAAGAAAGAAAGAAAGAAAGAAAGAAAGAAAGAAAGAAAGAAAGAAAGGGAGAGAGAAAGAAAGAAACTAGAAAGGTAGGGAAGGGTGGGGCACAAATGAAACAAAGCTTGGCTCCAGCCGACAGCTCAGGGCCGGCAGACTCTCCACCTTCTCTGGGACGTGCCTGAGAGTTTGCACCATACACAACACCAAATAAAGGCGCCTTCCCCCCGGGGCCTCTTTCCAGGAGTTCACAGGCCGTTGCTGTGCCACAACCACTTTGGCCAGAAGGAAGGCAATTTTACTTAATAGTCATCAAACTGTTCAAGTGAATGTGGGATGTCATAATATATTTGCTACCTCTGTGCACATCAACGAGCAAGCCCTACGGGCCACCTTCATATGAAGGTGCTCCTGAGAGTTAGTGGCCTCCAGCATCGGCATCCCACATGGGTGTCGGTTCGAGTCCTGGCTATTCCACTTCCAACCCAACTCCCTGCTAATGCGCCTGGGAAAACAGCAGAGGACGGTGCAAGTGCTTGGGCCCCTGCACCCACGTGGGAGACCCGGAAGAAGCTCCTGGCTCCTGGCTTCAGCCTGGCCCAACCCTGGTCATTGCAGCCATTGGGGAGTGAACCAGTGGAAGAAGACCTCTCTCTCTCTCTCTCTATGACTCTCTGTAACTCTGTCTTTCAAATAAATTAAATAAATCTTTAAAAAAAAGTTAATGGAAAAATAGAAGGAAAAGATAGGTTTATTTCTGTGCCAAAAGATTGAAGTCCATGCTTAGCTTTTTCATATACGTGCACTTGTCTGAAGTTTTAGAAGACCCCGCATACTACCTTTTTTTTTTTTTTACAGGCAGAGTTAGACAGTGAGAGTGAGAGAGAGAGACAGAGAGAAAGGTCTTCCTTTTTCCGTTGGTTCACCCCCCAAGTGGCCGCTACTGCAGGCCCGTTGCAGCTGGCGCACTGCACCGATCCAAAGCCAGGAGCCAGGTGCTTCCTCCTGGTCTCCCATGCGGGTGCAGGGCCCAAGCACTGGGCCATCTTCCACTGCCTTCCCAGGCCACAGCAGAGAGCTGGCCTGGAAGAGGAGCAACTGGGACTAGAACCCGGGGTGCTGGCACCGCAGGTGGAAGATTAACCTAGTGAGCCGCGGCGCCAGCCCACTACCTTGTTTCTAAGGAGTGGGAGGCTGTGGTTTGTCGCAGCAGCTACAGTGGTGGAGTGACCGCAGTGGCTGGCCCTCTTGCCATCGGGCTGCAGCTCTGCCGTGGAGGCTGCTCTGGTCTTTATCCACTACGGGAGGAAACGCTACATTCCTGTCACACCTTGGTGGCGAACGTAGGGCCATTGCGACCCCATCCAAATCCATGGGCCCCTTGCATTCTGTCCCCCACCGGCTCAGGGAAGCCCGGGGAAGAAGCCCTGCTGTAGCCACTGCCCCCGTGCACTTCCCTCTTAGGGTTCGCCTCTGCATGGTTTGCTGGTTTACCAGCTGTCTCCCCATCCCCACACAGCAAGACCCCAAACTCCTAACGGCTGACCTGTTTGTGTCTCTGGATCCCAGAACTGGTGTGTGGCACACAGTAGGTGCACAACCCCTCTTTGCAGAAAACAGCCAACACACAGTACCAGCGGCTAAGCGTGTGGAGGGCCTGGCAGGTGCTCCCAGCACAGCTTCCCCCACAGCACCCCCACAAAAGGCCCTGATGTGTGTTCCCATTCTGCAGATGCGGAAGTTGAGTCGCTGCGATCGGGAACCTGGACCGCAGCCTCTTTGGGCCGGAGGAACCCCAGGGCCCAACGTCACTTTTTCAACATCACATCTCACCCGGGAGGGAAGAAGCCCAGGAGGGGAGACCCTGGCACTTGCTTCCCCGTTATGTACGAAACTTGAAGGAAAGAAAGCTTTCCCGTGTTCCGTTCCTGCCAATGCCCTGCAGAAGGGCCACCAAGTCGGCATCTACACGGTTCCCGCGGTGACTGCTCCCGGATGCCACACGCTGACAACAGCAGGCAGAATCAGACTGCGACACGCAAACACTTCTCCATCTCCCAAAGGCGCCAAGATATTTGTGAAGTTGTATCCGGCCGCTTGGTGCCTCTGTGCTGATGGCTTTGTGACCTGTTTGTGTTGGCGCTCGCTGGCTCTGGCCGGTGGACGGGTGGCCCCTGGAGCTCAGAGATTGGGAAACTCCTTCCTGCTCCACAGGGGGCCCAGAGGGACAAAGGGAGACAGGTGCCAGGGCAGGGGGCCCAGCTGTTGACTGGGAAAAAAAGCGAACCAGGCTCTGAGGTTTGCGGACAGCAGCTCGGCCAGCGTCGGAAGAGGCTGAGAGCTGTATTAAAAGGGTTACTCTGTCCGAGCACGCGCCGTCCCCCTGCGCGGCGGCGGCCCCTGTCTGTGCCCGCTCCCTGGAACCTGCACGTGCCTGATTTTCTCAGCTCCCTCCTCAAGCCGTGGGTAACGTGCAATACTCACCCAGGTTATCACCAGCTGTGTAAGACAAGAGAGAACCCGCATTTTCACGGGGTGGCCGATACCCGCCGGGACATCTTGCCTGAGGAAGTGGGTGCAGATGGCCCAGAGCCACACCCCTGAGGACAGCACACACACGGCCACGAGCAAGAGCAGGGCCAGACTCACCATGCTGCCGCTGCCCACAGGAGGCGGAGCGGGAGCTGTGTGCAGCAGCCCAGCCGCGGCGGCTCTGCTCACTTATACATCACCACCCACCCTCCCCTCTTCCCTGCCTCCTGAAAACATTGGCCCAGCCCACGTGAGTCACGGACTCAGGTGACGCTGTGGTTCTAGGTCAAGGTCCGGCCCCAGAGAAAGTTGCTTGTACAGCTTAGCCCAAGAGAGACTTCCAAAGCTCTGGCTTAAATCCTGGCTTTGCTGGAGACGCCCATGGGTAAGCCACCATGTCACCTTGGATGTCACAAACTCGACCACCCCCACCTGCCCTTGGACCTCACCACTCACCCCCTTATATCCGCTCCGACGACATTTGCTGTTCCTGAGCCTACTGAGGCGGTCCCAGGGCCTTTGCACATGCTGGCCTCGGTGCAGCAGTCTCCCCCCAGACTCCATCCCTCCCCTCCCACAGATCTTGGGTGACATGTCACCTCCTCCAGGAGGCTACCATGGCCACCTTATTTAAAACTGTGCCCCCACCCCTGCATGCCTGTGCTCCCCTCCCACACTCCCACTTACTCTTCTCTGTGTATCATCACCTGCGGTACCGCAGGCTGCACCTGCTCGACGGCCGCCTGTAGACAACTGTCTCCGTGAGGGCGGGACTCTAGACTCGCTTGTCCCCGGGGCTGGGTCAGGCTTGGGCCCTCGGCAGGTACGAAGCGAGGCCCTGTCCAGTGCAGGGTGGAAAAACAGGCTCTGTTCTCTTCACTGTGAGGCTGGACAACTGAGCTCCCCGCCTTTCCAGGTCAGGTCAGAGGTTGGCATTCCTTCCAGCCCTCCTGGCAATGGCATCTACCACCTCACCCACCTGCCGGGTCTGGCAGCAAGGCTGTGTTGCTCAGATGAGAGATTGTACCTCTCAGGAGACATCTGGCCACACATCCCGAAACAATTCCGTCTGTCACGCTCAGCGAAGGCAGGGGGTGGTGGTGACATCCCGGGGACCCGTGCCAGGGACATTGCTAAACGTGCTACAGCAAAGAGTTCCCCAGTGCAATGCATTGACGGTGCTGAGGTTGAGAAACCCCAAGTTAGGATCGCTTGGACCCAAGTCCTGCTTCAGCCAAATGCCAGCATTCTGATCGTGAGCAAGCTACATTTCCAAGCCTCCGTTTCCAAATCTGTGAAATGGGGATAATAAGGGTAGCACCCACCCCCCCAAGCTGGGCCACGGCGCATCTGAAGCACTAGCACGAACATGGTGCGTGTGGACGTGTGAGGGAGGTCCGAGGGCACGACCGAGACTGCTCCGCGTGTTCTCCAACCCCTCCTGTCCCCTGGGGACACACAGGAAGTCAACATCCCCCCTACTTTGGGAGGCTGCGGGATGTGTGCCAGGATGTGCGTGAGACCACCACGGCCACTTCCTGGCTGCAGGCTCCCCAGGCGTGGCTGCAGAGGGTCCACACTCTCTCCCACTCCCTCTCTCTGGAGGGAAGGTCTTCCGAGGGGTGCAGAGCCCTGCCCCAGGCTCGGAGGGGAGCTTCCGGAAGACGGAGCTGCTGTGGGAGGGCATGGTGCAGGCGCGCTGCGTGCGGCCACTGCGCTGGGTGACAGCGCCAGGCTCTGGAGGTCCCCGCAACCCCAAAGCCTAACGCGAGCTTCATTCTCCTGCTCCTTTTGGCTGCTGTCCCCTGGGCACAGGACGCAGGACTCTGTCCCCGTGAAGGTGCTGACCGGGACCCTGGGGCTGGGCAGCGCCCCCAACATCGTTTAAGAGGAGGGACCACGGCGCAGGGCAGAAGGGGGGGCCTTCCCAACCTGGGCCCACGAGGCTCACGGTGAGGTTGGGGATTTGTGCCTTGTCTGCTCCCTGCCTCCCCGTCTGTAGAGCAAAGCCGGGGTCCCCGCTCCGTGCCCGGCACTGTGCCAGCGCTCTGCGGGTCTTAATGTGCTGTGATTTCCTGTGATCGTGGGTCAGCTCAGCAGCCATGCCGAGTACAGGTCCGAGCGGTTGCGGCCAGAAACAGGCCTCGTCACCCTTGACTCGGTTTCCGGCCGGCTGACCTCCTCCCGGGCCGGCACCATGGTTGATCCAGATGCCTGGTGACCAGCTGCCACCTCCCCGACTCACCCCACTGCCCCCATGCCACGTGGACTTCACGGACGGTGACCACTGCTCGGTCACAGCCTGGCTCCATGCACTCACTCCTTAGAGCTCCCCACCAGGGAGCCGGCACTGTGGCATAGTGGGTAAAGCCTCTGCCTGCGATGCCAGTGTCTCATATGGGCACCAGTTCATGACCCGGCTGCTCCACTTCTGACCCAGCTCCCTGCTCATGGCCACTCCCCAAATGGCTGTGTGGGCCAGGACTGAGCCAGGAACCGGGATCTTCCTCTGGGTCTCCCACGTGGATACAGGGGCCCAAGCACTTGGGCTTCCTTCTGCTGCTTTCCCAGGCTCATTAGCAGGGAGCTGGATGGGAAGTGGAGCAGCCGGGACATGAACTGGCGCCCATATGGGACACTAGTACCACAGGCCACTGCTTAGCCTGCTGCAACACAGTGCCAGCCCCCAGATCCAATTCTTATACCCATTTTATGGATAAGGAAACTGAGCCTCACTGAAGTTAAGCAACTTCCCCAAGGTGGGAAAACTCCTAAGCGGAAGTTGTGGAGAGGCCTGATGTTGAAGCGAGGCTGTTCTCAGGCCCCTTATTTCGTGCTGTGCCAAAGAAAAGCACACGTGGTTGCCCTGTCTGCCACCCAGTCCCTGCCGAGAGAAGCTCTGCCAGGCGGGAACTCCCAGTGCATTGCACGGTCGGCAGCTGGGTTACGGAGCTACGCTGGGGCTGCTAGTCAACGTTTGTTTATTTATTTATTATTTGAGAGGCAGAGGGTGGGGGGAGCTCCCGCCCTCTGGTTCACTCCCCAAATGCCTGCAATGGCTGGAGTAGGCCCAGGCTCCATCCGGGTCTCCATGCAGGTGGTAGGGGCCCGCACACCTGGGCCATCATCTACCACCTCCCAGGATGTGCATTAGCCGGAAGCTGGAGTGAAGAGCAGGACTCAGATCTGGGCACTCTGACATGGGATTTGGTGTTCCTCGTGGTGTCTCAGCCACCACACCAGTGCCCACCCCCAAGCACAGTTGTTCCAATCATCCGAGCAAGGCGCACGCGCCGAGTCCTCACTGGGACTCCTCCACGCTGACAGAGCTCAAGCTGCAGGTCCCTCGCCGGCAACACAAAACTGTGCTCAGGGTCATAAGAGACTCAGGACTTTTGTGACACCTGTAGTAAGTTTGGCTTTTTCAGACGCGTAATTTGCTATGGCTTCTTGTCCTAAATGTATTTTTGCCTTTTAATCTAAATCGGATGAATAATTTTACATATTCTTCTAGAAGAAATTCCCCCAAACCGTGCACATTTCAGTCCCACAACATCTGGATCTGGGAGCAGTAGAGTTGCCTGCTGCATCCCACATGGGACTTCCAGGATTCGATTCCCAGCTCCAACTCCTAACTCCAGTTTCCTGCTAACATAGACCCTGGGAGGCGCGGGGTGGGGGGATGAGTCCAGAAACTGGGTTCCTGCACCCATATTGGAAACCCAGATAAAGTTATCGGCTCCTGACTTTGGTCCAGCCATGGCCCAGCCTTGGTGTGCATTTGAGGAGTGAACCAGTGGGTGGGATCTCTTTCTTTATTAAAAGGCTGGATCCACCCAGGTCTGCACGTGTGTGTGCAGGTGCATTTATGGTATGCACATGGGTGTGTGCGTGTATTTCCATAGGAGCCCAGGGAACATATTCCTTGTAACCTTCTCTGTCACTCTTCCAAGCCAATACACTAAATCCTATGACCTAACTTTCAGCGCCTGTAGAATACTCTGTTGCTCCCTTGCTTGTCTGTGCTGTCATTTAGTACCCAAATTCCGAATTATTGTTAGAAACCAAGATTGTCTGATTTTCCTATCTTTGGACAAGACCCAATCACTTCTGTAGAAAACTGGTGGGTCAAAAATAAAATTGTTTTCAGGCTTTTGATCCATATGAACACATTATCCCAGAAAAGTTGTATCCATTCGCATCCCAACTCTAAGTGTAACAAAACCGATTGCTTCCAGTCCTCCCGCCAACACTGGGTATTAATCATTGTGTCTGAATTGGAATAGTCTGAGTTTTTAAACTTATATTGCAGTGTTGTTTCAGTTTGCATTGCCTCCATACCAGCACAATGGAACGCTGCTTCCTGTCCCATGGAGCATTTGAATCTGTTTCTTGGATTCACGTGACTTTATTTTATTTCATTTTCTACTGATGTCTCTTTTTTTTTTTTTTTTTGACAGGCAGAGTGGACAGTGAGAGAGAGAGACAGAGAGAAAGGTCTTCCTTTTGCCGTTGGTTCACCCTCCAATGGCCGCCGCGGCCGGCGCGCTGCGGCCGGCGCACCGCGCTGATCCGATGGCAGGAGCCAGGAGCCAGGTGCTTTTCCTGGTCTCCCATGGGGTGCAGGGCCCAAGCACTTGGGCCATCCTCCACTGCACTCCCGGGCCACAGCAGAGGGCTGGCCTGGAAGAGGGGCAACCGGGACAGAATCCGGCGCCCCGACCGGGACTAGAACCCGGTGTGCCGGTGCCGCTAGGCGGAGGATTAGCCTAGTGAGCCGCGGCGCCGGCCCTGATGTCTCTCTTTTTGCTGTGACTTGTGTGTGCCCTGTGCATAGTAAGGATATTGAATCTCTGTCATGTGGCTGCAAACAGGATTTAAACTCTATTTACTTTGTTGAGAAACAGAGACACAGTGAGAGGGGCAGACAGAGAAAACTCCCATCCCTGGTCCACCCCAAATGCCCACAATGGTCAGAAATGGTCCAGACTGAAGTTGAGAGCTGGGAACCAAGCCAGGGCCCCCATGTGGGCAGCAGGGACCTAATCACTTGAGCCATCACTGCTCCTCCCTGGGTCTGCATTAGCCAGGAGCTGGAGCCGGTATTGAACCCAGGCATTGTGATGCGGGATGCAGGGGTCCTGACCAGCCTTCCAATCACTCAGCCAAAAGTCCATCCCTAGTTGCAACCCTCTCCTTTTTTTCAAGGTTATTATTTGCCTTTTAATCTATGTTGTATTTCTGTACTTATCATTATAATTTTATGCAATGAAACCTGTCATTTCTTAAGGTCTTTAATTTTGTATCATGCTTAAAAAGATCTTTTATAATACATAAGGGCCAGTGCTGTGGCGTAGCAGGTAAAGCTGCCGCCTACAGTGCCAGCATCCTATATGGGTGCCAGTTCAAGTCCAGGCTGCTCCACTTCCAGTCCAGCTCCCTGCTAATGTGCCTGGGAAAGCAGCAGAAGATGGCCTAAGTCCTTCACCCCTGCACCCACGTGGGAGACCTAGAAGAAGCTCCTGGCTCCTGGCTTCAACTTGGCCCAGCCCTGGCCATTGGAGCCATCTGGGGAGTGAACCAGCAGATGGAAGATCTCTCTCTCTCTCTCTCTCT